AGAATATGTAAAGGGAATAAAAGAAGAAGTTACAGAAGAACAAACCTCAATTAATCAGAATGAAGCAACGCACACGCAAGTTGAGTTGTGCATCGCTATACCTCCTAATCCACAGTTCCATGTACCCTTGGTGGCACATCAGAACAGACCGGCTACAAACTGTAGAGCAAAGCATATGGGCAACCATAAAACTATAGGCACAAACAAAACCAAACCATAAAATCTATAATGTTAGGGACCATTATAAACCACAAATGACATCCTACTATGCAGATTGCAGGCGGTGAAAGTAGCAAATGAGTAAGTAAAATGAAATCCTTACAATGGGTAAAAGCCTAAGTCAGTTGAGCTAAGATAAAAATATCCCAGTCAATAGTCATGTGAATGCAGAGGCAAGCTATGTAATTTTTACTCTGGCTAGACGTTGTTTCCTTCTATACTTTCGACTGAAATTGCACTGTTTTAATGTTCATTGTAAGAGGAAGTTGTGTTAGGCTGCATGAACTCCAGAAAAAGCTAAATGAATTTTCTATTAACCTCACTGGCTCTAGTTTCGTCATATAACATCTTAAGTATTGTCGTTTGACACTCGGATGTTTGACTCACAGAACTACCATGTAAGCTGGCTTGAATGAGAATTCAATTAAACTTTAAATTGTGAAGATGACATAGACAACCAATTTAGTGGGTTGGGATTCTAACAGTATTTACTTTCAGGATTTTGTCAAAAACTACAATATCCGCGAAACAAATTGTAAAATCAAAAATGGATCCCATTCACCAGGTACTTACATTGCATGTACGTTGAACAGAGGACGGCCTTCGTTGTCACCTATTCCATCCAGCAACATCACATCTTCAAGAATCCTGTAATTAAGTGAAAACAATAACACTTAATTAAAGGCTTCTGTTATTAATGCATGACTGACAAAATTTGTCAAGGGAAGCTAGCCCATTTGGGACTAAATACAACATATCAGAAAAGGAAATACCTTGCATTGGTGATAGAAGGACCAAGTGGTGGCTTCTAGTTCTTCGAAAGCTTCTGAATAAACACTGTTGCAAGTGTGGTTTCCAACACTTTCTTCGCTCAGTGTCTAAAACTGCAGCCTTCAGTTGATTGACACACGAGATCAAAACATATAACTGGCAATGATTGAAAACAGGTTCAGGCTACAAAAATGGCAACATGGTGCAGTGTCTGACTCTGACTCAATACCAGCGGCGCTTGTTCACGAGTAATCAATAAACAGTACGCGGAAGATAAAAAACATACAAAAACCAACAACAACATCATTAATCACAACCCAGCATTATTCAATTGTTGAGTGAGCTAAATATTTGGATTTCAGTGGGAGTATTACTGGTGCAGACATGGGACCTAAAAAAGGATATTGAAGGTAAACTTCAATCCATTGGTTTGAGCTGCGTTAGTTGGTGAAGTGCATTGACTTGTACGAAATAGGCAATGTAGAATCATGTCTCGTGCTTTGACGAAAGAAGGAAAATATAACACCGGCAACAATAATTTTCACTGGATTCTAAAAGGAATCCAATAATAATACTCTAACCATAACTAATCATGAAAATCAAAAGTATCAGAAAAGCACAGAAGAAAAGACCTGAACAACATAGTCATCTCCACCACTCTATACGCCTGGATGCATCCAGCAAGTGACCATTGAGATGGCTCAGCAACAGAAGCATAAAGCACCCTCTTATACTTGTTTAATTCTCATCTTAAAACCAGCAAAACAGCCGTACAAAAATCACACAGGCATTACTCGGATTGATGCATATCACGAAGGGTTAGAAGGGGGTCTAAGGAATAGGCTAGTGACGGTTTGACCCCAATCCAAACTGCAATTGTTTGGTAGTGATGGCCTGAACAGAACCCCCACTGACCAACAACCCACCACGACGATGCATCCTCTCAAGAGGCATTACGATGAAGCGCTTCCCTGGAAAAAGCAGAAACCCATTTCAAATGTATCATCAACTCATAAAATGTCTTGAGTAATCAAATCGAAGAAACCTAACAGTTCTGTGTTCATGCAGTGGAAAATGGCACTAAGTGAAGGATCCAACACAAAGGCTGAACGTTCCACAACAACGGTGGAGCTAGAGTAGTGAGACCATGGATAGGCGTTGTAGAATGACAAAGGGGATACCTCAACATCAATCTGCCAAACAGAGAACCCTAAAAGGAGTTTAATTGGGATTCCTAGTGTTCCAGCAATGACAAAGACTGACTGTTGGTTTTTTGCTGCATCCTATGAGAGAGTTTTAATCTGGAAATCAGAATTACAACGTGGAAATAAGAAAGATAGACCCAAATAAAAGAAAACCAACAATCCCCAAATCAGCAATAACAATACCATGATGAAACTGGAAAGGTAGAGAGGAGCTAGTGACCTGTCATCATTGGGGAGGTTCCTTCCATTGCCTTCATGGATTGACCACCAGAAAAGAGATCGGATTTGTGGCAAAAAAACATATAAAGATGGGAGCTATGTGGCAAGCGAATCTGAAAAAAGAAAGAGATAACCTGGGAAAGAAGAATAAAAGGTTAGATTCAAGAGAAGAAGGGACAGGAACTGGAGCCGGCAGGAGCGAGTTGGAGATCATTCCGGAAGCTGGTTCTTCTTCTTCTTCATGAGATGGAGAGAGAAATGGCGATGGCGACTTCTTCTCACTTTTCCCTTGGCGGAAACGCAAATCAAAACAAAAACATATAGAAACCAGATCAAAGAAAGGAAGAGACCCAGAATATAAACAGAACAAAATCCAAAAAGCAGAGGATTACCAGATCAATATTGTCATCGGGCATACATAATCGTCTATAAATAGTTTTTTCCTTGCCGAGATGAACTTCCGTGGATGAGTTTTACTATTCTATCTTCTTCCGGCAGCTATGATCTTAGTATAACATGCATGTACAGACAAAAAACAGTGAAATTTTCTAAGGTAAAAGAGAAACTGATTTCTTTATTATGAGATCCTACATTTGACTCCCACCTATTCGACAGTCAATGGGTCACCAATTGTTGTCTGAGAAACTAAATCTTCTCACCACCTGTTCATTACTGGGCACCGGTGTCTTGGCCGACCGCATTAACTTAATTATGCAAAATGGGTCTACATGCTGATCCAGCAATGGCCGCATAATGTAGTGTTCAGCATCCATACATAGACACATTACAAAACGGCCAATGGTGTTATAAAATGAGGTGGTTCAAACTGCAAAAGGGTTTCCACACAACAAAAGCATATAAGCATAAATTGTTTGATTATTCCTGCAGAGTTAGATAAGCTGGTCTGTGAATGGACTGTCGCTAGTGTGCATAATCATTTGTCAAAGGCTGAGCTGTTCAACAGCGTGGTAACTCTAATGTGTGGTGCAGATGCTGAATTCTGGCATTTCAGATCTTCCGCGAGATACGTTTGATTTGTGTAATCCATTGTTACTGTAATGCAAAGGTTGGAAGAATACACAGATGGAAACAACTATTTTGCCATATTTAATTACTGACCACTAATGTCATGACAGACCATATAACTCAACCACACACAATGGGAATACATGTTGATCCAACAATGGCCACATGTATCCACGCATGGACACGCAGAGGATGGCATTCTGAATTGTACAAAATGACCAAAGGAATCACAAAATAAGATAGTTCAAATTGCAAAAGAGTTTACATACGACAAAAGCATATAAGCATAAATTGTCTGCTATTGGTTGGGAGAGAGGAAAGTCCGTGAGATGGAAAAGTTGATTAAGAAAATGCTTGTAGCGTTAGATAAGCCGATTTGTTAATGGAGTGCAATAAATGTGGAGGATCATTTGTCAAAGGCTGAGCTGTTCCAGAGCTAATCACCTTCCCTGATGGAGATTTCAATGATATGGCAGACACTCAACCACTCCAGCCTAGCAGCTACAGATCTGCAAGTGTAAAGGAAGGAAAAGGAATCACTAATTAGATATCCTAAAACATAAGGCAAAAAAAGCTGAGATTGAAACCTTGAAATCCCACAATCGAAGTGTAGAAAGAAAGAAGCAAGCAAGAAAGAGAAGGGTCAATAACTTTATGATTCCAAGAGGTGTACCATAGACAAAAATCAGTAGAGATTTGTCAGAAACCAAAGCAGATTATCTTACCATCTAACATATGCAAAACATACAGACTTCTTTCTTATCGACATACAAAAAGTTGCTCCTCTTACCAAGCTTGCGCAATCAAGGGTCGCCATTCACCAGCAAAACTATAGGCTATATTAACTTGAATGAATGACACCTTCCAGAACTTGCTTTCTTTCTTCCTCAACTCCATCACAGTTGAATAGTAATTTCGAGTTTATATGACTATATGAACTTGCTTTATCGTCAGGAAGCACCACATGAGATTTATCTGAAGACGTTCAAGAAAAAGAAATCATAATGTTAGTTGACCACCCACAATTACTGGAAGTTCACCAAAAAAGACCAGGAAACGATGATCAAAACCAACCAGATGAGTCTTAACTAATACTCATTTTCTTGAATCATGAAAGGATACCCAAAATATGCTATTTATACCAGAGACTAAGCACCAACACTAATTATGACTACTGTTATGAACTGATGAAAAATCCATCCTCTACATAACAATAACAAACAACTATGGAATAATTCGAAATCGACAGATGACATGTTGGAAGCTTATGAGTTAATATTTACCAATGAAAGGAGGAAAGTGAAACAAACGCAAACAAATTGCAAGAAATCACACCCATAACAAAAGGGTTCCTTCCCAACACTTGTCTGCCCACAGCAAGTAATTCACATGCTCCAAGAACACATTGGAGGAAAAGGAAATAGAACATTATAATTGCATAACCTAAAGAGCGTGCCTTATCAAATGGTGAACCTTGAACTCGTAAGTAATTAAGCCACTTCTATATTGAAACAACTAATTACCCAAAAAAATCCTAGGTGAGATGCTCATAAATCATTTATCATGCAAGAGGACAACAAAATAGCCAGCAAAGCTCTGAATTTCTAACACCCAAGAACTTTATAGCAGTTCACCATATTTTGATAAAGTGCCTTTGATTTAGCACACTCCAAAACATGAATCAAATGAGAAAGATATACTCTGCAAAAACAGCAAGCAAGAGTAATTGATCAGAGAAAAGAGGAATGGGATAACTAACTGGGGAGAATGAACTGAAAAGAGTGAGTCACCTGTTGAGGCATTCCTCACTGAATCCGCGCCGTCGTGCATCCATTCATCTTCCAATATGGAGTTGACCTTACCACCGCTGACGTGGACCTCACTCCAATCTTGCTCCAACATTGGGTTTTTTTAGGAGAGGAGTTCAGCTGCTTACACGCCGATCAACTCTCTTTTTTTTTGGAAAAGCTTGAGCCATCTTTTGAATTTCCTCTCCTCTCCGATTCCGATGCTCGCAGGTGAGAATGGGAGAGAAACAACTTGATTAGAACTTTAAGCGGAGAAAAGTTTTGGGAGAATCAAACAACGAATCATAAACAGAAAACAAACCCAGTTGAAAGAGCTACAACAATCACCTTAAACCAAAACCCGAATCCACAAAGCAGTGATGGCGCAGGCAGAGAACTGTGAGCTGGATCCTCACGACAACTCGGGCCACCCAGAACCCTCCCTGCATAACCAAAAAAGAGAGCCAAAATCAAAACACGAAGGTCGTGCAGGAACGAAACATGCATTAAGCGTAAAAAGCAATCCCCCTAACCTACCAGCGAATCATCTAAAAAGCACCTGACGCAAGAAAGTGTCCCTGCGACCAAAGCGAAGAGAGCATAGATTAGATTATAACTGCTACAACACAAAGAAATCGAGATAGAGGAACCATAAAAACAAAAGAGATAGTACCTGCGAGCGTCAATAATCTTCCGACAAATCAATCTCAAGAGCCCTCGCAGACCTGGGTCTCTACAAAACTTTCCCATTACTGTAAAATCTGCCCATTGATCACACCAAACCCAGTCCATCTCCGAGGCAAAGAGATAAGAAACACCAGAGCAAAGGGAAGAGAGACCACAACCATCATAGAAGAGCTATTGTTGCCGCCTCTGAATCGGTTAACAACTCCAACGATAGTGCTTTTTCTGGTCCTGAGCAAGACTGAGAGAGAACACCCACCAAAAAGTGCACTGCATCCGCGACTCCTAAGCACCAGAGAAGAGAGGGTTAGAGCCTAGAGGCAAATAAGAAACCAGACACCATTCTTTCTCTCCCATTCCTTACTCATACGTCTTTCATTTCTCTCTCAACAACAATACAGTCTCACCTCATCTCTCTCTCTCTCTCTATCTTTCTCGGAGCCGAGGTAGTTGCGAAACGCCAGGGAATCGGCGATACCCCGCGATTTTGAGCGTCCTTCATCGACAAAGAGAAGATTCGGAGATGCTCTCTCTCTCATCTCGGAGGCGAGGTAATTGGCAGCGACCAGGGAATCGTCGATCACCCGCCGGTTGTGAGGATCCATCTCCGACGAAGCGGAGATTCGAAGATGGTGCGGGGCCGATTCTCCAGCCAGAGCAAGATTGAGAGAGAACACCCACCAAAAATTGCACTGCATCCGCGACTCCTAAGCACCAGAGTCTCCAATAACATCTTATTCCAATGACCAGCATCTCTGCAACACACAAATTAAGAGAGAGAAATGAGAGTCCGATGAGAAAAGAAGGGATGGGAGAGAAGGAAAAGGATGTGCAGTGAATAAGAAAGAGGGTTCTTATTTGCCTCTGACCCTCTCTCCAAGGCCACTCAGCTTCCTTGTGAAGGATCGCACTACCCGAGGAACCCTTGGGACCCGAAGACCTTCACTCTTTCCAAACCTTCGTCATCATCACCAATAAGACCAGATGGAAAAAGTACACTGGATTTGAGGCCGGCGCGAAACTCGAAGACCCAACACAACAAAAGGAAGTCGTAAAGGAGCTGGAAACCGGCGGCCAAGCAACCAGCAACTCCTTTGGACAACATCAGGGCCCCACGCCAAGCAGCCAACCAATCAGAAGGAGGTGAATAGTAAAATTGAGTCTGTATGACCAGTAAAACGTGGCTTGTGCTACAGTGATCGGCGTTAGTGGAAATAATTCCTCTTAATAATTAAAAAAAAAAACAACCCAATCCGACACATGTAAAACTCGACCTCGACCAAAACTGCGTCAATATTGTGTTCAACTCGCTTTAGTCGGGTCGACATTAGGTCAAACATCCATTGATTCAAGCATGCAAAACTCATTGTCGGCCCAAAATTTGTCAATGTCCGGTTTAACACGCTCACGCCGAGTGGAATTAGGTCAGATACTCATTGTTTTTTGTCCAGTTTGGGCTCAATTGTCATAAGTTAATTAATTAGAACGTTAATGGCACAAAAACTCCTCCAAAGTTTACAAAAGTTGGTAAAATCTGTTGCCGATAAAAAAGTCGGCAGCACCGAAACCGGATCGAATTAGATTGAGTACACCCGACTCAACAAAAGCGGGTAAAATTCGTTCCCAACCAAAATCTGGCAACATCGGGACTGGGTCGAATCAGGTTGAATATAGTTTTTAACAAAAGCGACAGACAACCCAATTCGTCATTTACAAAAGTTGGTAAAATATGTTGCGGACCAAAAATTCGGCAACACCGAAACCGGATCGAATTAAATTGAGTACACATGAATTTAGGTACATAAAAAGAAATCATTAAACATAAGATTAATGAAAGAGAGAGAGAGGGAGGGATGAAGATTGATGGAGGGGGGAGGAGTTACGGGAGTGGTGAAAATGAATGGATGGGAATAAGTGCAGGAGAGAGGAAAGAAATAAAGAAATAAAACATAATTGCATTTTTAGTCCTCAGTAAAGTCTTGGTTAATGGTTAATTACAAAAGAGAGCCACCTATGCATGTCAGAACTCAGAAGAAGGGCCAATCAGAAAGGAGAACAAGAGGCAAAAAAGCAAACCAAGTCACAGTGTTTGGATGTGACTCTAAGAAACAGTAAAGTTGTAACTTGTTCTTTTAAAGAGATATTTGAACAACTCGAATTGCTGTTTTAAGGAATTAATTCGAGATGTTTTGACTTGAGAGGTACCTTCATAAGTAACCTGGAGTTTATCCCAGATTTCCTTAGCAATCTTGCAACCGGCAACTTTGTGATATTCTTCTGGACCGAGTGCACAATACATAAGATTAGTTGCCTTGCAGTTTTGCTGAAATTTCTCAAAGTCCTCGTCTGTCCATTTTTCTTGATCCTCCTTGAGCTCATACGGACCCTTGATTACTCTAGCCCAGAGTTTTGGATCTGTGGATCCAACAAATAATTCCATACGATTTTTCCAATATCCATAATTAACTCCTTCAAACCTGGGAGGCCGATTTTGAGAGAATCCGTCAGCCAAATAGAGTGGAGCATTATTCTTGGAACCCGACGCCATTTTGATTTGCACCGGAGGTCGTTGAACCTTGTTCTACGGTGACCGTGCTCTGATACCACTTGTTGGTTGCGTCGAGCGCGAGACTTTATACCTGTCTAAAAAAAACTTAACAACAAATAATCACAATGATTAAATATTACCCAATTGCAATTAAACGACACCCTAAGTGATTAACCACCTAGAGCACTAATCAACCTTCTTATCCTATAACTAGTTGAGGCCTGTTACTTAGCCTTATGAGTGGTCCGACTGGGCTTCTATGCCCAACTGTTAAGTTCTAGCGGATGGAATAATTCTGGCCACTTCGGCCCAACAAACAGTCAACTCAGTCCACCAACTAAGTGGCCTATGCAAAACGACCGTGGTTTGAATTCAAGCTACTGCCTCCCTCCCTCTTGCCAATTCGATCCAGGAGAAGGCCTGCTTCTATTCGACCAAGAACAGAAGACAGAAAATTAAGAACACTGCAATATAACCTGTGACAAGAATAAACCAGTTAATCCCAACGAGTTCCTCAACCCAGTCCAGGCTCCTCGTCGCCTTCCCTGTGTCTCTAGAACCGAGCTTCCCTGCAGAGTCAGACCAGTAACAGGAAACAAGCAGAGAAACACTCACAGACTGAAAATGAAAAGCAGCAAACAAACCCGGCACACGATTTTTACGTGGTTTCCAGTATTGGGAGAATGAGGATCCCAATACTGACTACTCCACGGCCAGAGAATCACGATTGTGTGATCTCTGACGATTCACTATGATATAGCGATGACGTTCTTCGTTACAAGCAATCTACCCAAGAGCCCTTTGATCAATCTCTACCCGATTGATCTAACTCTCTTTTCTCAAACCCGAATTGCTTCCCCAGCAACTCGAAACCAGTGTTTCCCCAACACTAACCCTCAAAGCAGTTCTCCCCGAACCCTTTGAGAAACCCCTTTCCTATCACTCTAGCTATTCTCACAAAATCCCCTTTTGGCTTAGCTAGTTTTGATCTCTTGAAAGGTTACCATTGGTGGTTCTTCAGGTCGCCTTTTATAGGGAGGAATATGACCGTTAGTCATTCAAATTCCTTCCCTATTTGTGCTGATTTGATTGAGAACTCAATCCTCTAATTTGATTTGTAGTGAGTTGGTCATTTGAGCCTCATTGTGCACTGTTGTATCCAATCTTCTTGATCTGATTTCTTCTCTAATTTTTCAGCCGTTAGAACATTCCTTCTTTGTGTTGATTTGCTAGGTAGCAAATCAGCATCTTTGAGCATAGCTAGCCATTGAGAAGTTCTTTCCTTTATTGTTCTTGCTGATTGCAGAATCTCTCCTCCTTTATGCTGTCTTTGATTTTCTTTCCTTTACTTACAAGATTGCAGCATTTTCCTTCTTTGATTGAGGCCATTGATATGCTTGACTCAACGGATCCTTCTCTTGTCAAAATGATTGAGATATCGATGATGATTCAACACCCTGTGTTAATGGAACATATATCCAGAGAAGGTGTGAATCAGCCCATTGAAACGAAAGGGACGAGGAATGCAATCACTCATATTTGGGAAGGCTCAAGGATTTGCTGAGTTTTAGGTTAAGGTGGAGGTTTTGAGTTGATGGAACAGTGAGGAGATTAAGAGAAGGAGTAACCCTTATATAGGCAGAAAAACGATGGACAGAGGAGAAGCAGAAGAGTCTCCCGCAGGAGAAAAGCAGGGAAAAGTGTAATGATTAGTTGATAGCATGCATGGCGCTTTCTTGGAACAACGCAAGCATGAGCCGAAAAGAGGGTTATTTGATAACCCGAGACACGCTAAATACCCAGAGAAAAAAGGCCCAATAGGGTTTTAGTTTACAAGATTTTTAATCTGATTAAAAGATTTGAGCACTATCTCTGTGCATAGTTGGAGAAAACGTTCACTGGAAAGGGGTTTCGTGAATAAGTCAGCTAATTGAGATTCAGTAGAGACGAATTGCAAACAAATATGTCTTTCTTGTACTAAGTCTCTGATAAAATGATATTTTATCTCAATATGTTTTGTTCTAGAGTGTTGGACAGGATTCTTTGTCATGCTAATTGCACTGGTGTTGTCACAGCACACCTGAATACCATTTAATTAAAAACCATAATCAGAAAGTTGAGCTTTCATCCACATGATCTGAGCATAGCAGCTTCCAGCTGCCATATACTCAGCTTCAGCGGTTGAAAGTGCAACCGCTCCCTGTTTTTTACTAAACACGGAACCAGAGCAGGTCCAAGGAACTGTATAGTTCCTGAGGTACTTTTTCTATCTACCAAGCTTCCTCCAAAATACGAATCACTATAACCTACTAATTCAAATGAATCAGAGGTTGGATACCATAATCCTACACTTATTTATCCCTTTAGATACCTGAATATTCATTTCACTGCTTTACAATGGCTTTCCTTAGGATTTGATTGAAATCTTGCACATAGTCCAACACTAAACTGAATATCAGGTCTACTAGCTGTTAAATGAAGGAGAGAACCAATCATACCTCTGTATTTCTTCTCACAGACTGATATCCCTCCATCTTTGTCTAGCTTTATATTTGTAGCCATCGGGGTCAGACTTTCATTTACAGAGTTCATCTCAAATTTTTTGAGCATGGCTTCAGTGTGACTAGATTGATTAATGAAAATTCCAGACTTAGTTTGTTTGATCTGTAAGCCGAGGAAGTGTGATAATTCTCCCATCATACTCATTTCAAATTCTGATTTCATGCTTTCACAAAATTTTGTGCACATGGAAGGATTTGTTGAACCAAATACAATGTCATCAACATATATTTGCACTATTAGAGTGTCCGAGTTTTCCTTTTTAATAAACAAAGTTTTGTCAACATTTCCTTGACAGAAACCTTCGTTTTTCAAAAATGTGGACAGTTTTTCATACCATGCCCTAGGTGCTTGTTTTAAACCATACAAGGCTTTTGATAATTTGTAAACATGGTCAGGATTTTTATGGTCAATAAAACCAGGTGGTTGACTTACATATACTTCTTCTTTTATTTATCCATTCAGGAAAGCACTCTTTACGTCCATTTGATATAAAGGAATTTTCATATAACAAGCATAGGCACAAAGCATTCTAATGGATTCAATACGTGCAACATGTGCAAAAGATTCTTCAAAGTCAATTCCTTCTTCCTGTAAGTAACCTTGTGCTACTAATCTGGCTTTGTTTTTAATTACTTCACCTTCTTCATCAGTTTTATTTATTAAAACCCACTTTGTTCCTATAATCAAACAATCTAATGGACGAGGAACAAGTTCCCAGACATGTAATCTAGCAAATTGAAGTAGTTCTTCTTGCATAGCAGTCAACCATTCGTCATCAGTGAGTGCTTCCTTATAATTTTTAGGTTCCAGTAAAGAGACAAGAGCATACTGACCTGGTTGGTACTTACCTCTGGTGTGGATACCATCCTTGAGTTGTCCTATGATTTGTGAGGGAGGATGTCGTTTTTGGATGTGCGCTGGGGGCCTCTTTTTCCTTTTCCAATTCGTGGACTGGTTCACATTTGCTTGCTTGTAATTCATTAGAGACCTCTTTT